AAACTGGCTGAATTATTTTCAACCACATTAAAGGGACATTTGCAACAAGTTCCTGCATTTTCACAAGTAATCTCTTTTGTAGCTGAGCTGATTGGTTTCCTGCTCAGCTGCGAAGCAAGAGAAAACCCTGTGAAGTCAGTTTTGCGGTATTCACCCTAAAGCTCTGCAAGGCAGGGAGTTTTTCATCCTGACTATCTCCACTTGTCACCCTTGCAAAAGTCAAGGAGCTATGGGGTCTTGCCACCATTTTGCTATACTTTTTAATTGGAATGACTTTTCTCCTTGCTACAAAAAACAAAGGCAGTGAGGCAGAGACAAGGGTGAGACCAAATCGATCATCCATGGACTAGAAGCCAATTTTTATGCCCCCATCATTGGTCACTTAGAAGAAGTACTGATTGACTCATCAGCCCTAAGCACCTTCAGGAGTGTAGTGGTGAAGATGTTCCTTATGTGCCATGAAAATGTTTCTAAGGAGTTGAAAGGTACAGCCAGATCTGAGTCCTAAACCTCCTATTGTAAAAGCAACTAGTTCTACACCTTTGGATGCTTCTAATGGAAAAAAAGGCCAACTTAATAAATGCTTGGCTATGTCCCTACCTTTATGTCTAATTTTTAGAATTATCTCTGACAGTTGTCCATCAGTTCAATGGGAAAAAAGAAAATAGACTTACTTTCCTGTAAATGTAATATTAGTGAAAAATACTGAAAAATTAGAGCCCTATACAGGTCATGACTAATCAAGACTCATTGCAGTGTAATTTCATTTCATTTTCATTTTATTAAATTTATACCCCGCCCTTCTCCCGGAGGACTCAGGGCGGCTTACAGCCAGTTTAAAAACAATAATACAATACCATACAAAATTTAAAAATGATTAAAAATAAATATTTGAATAGGCCGCTTCTACTAAAATTTTGTTAAAACCAATTAAAATACCTCTAGGCCAGTCCTGCCCGCTGAAATAACCAAGTCTTGAGGGCGCGGCGGAAGGAGGGGAGATCCGGAATCACCCGGATCTCTGGGGGCAGCTCGTTCCAGAGGGTGGGTGCTCCGACAGAGAAGGCTCTCCCCCTGGGTGTCGCCAGCCGACACTGTCTGGTTGACGGCACCCTGAGGAGGGCCTCTCTGTGGGAGCGT